CCCCCCCTCCCCCCCCCCTCCCAAGCAGGTTGTCAAGCAGTAAGCACTTCGGCTTTCATTTTTATTTTTTTACAAGTAGATGTTTGGATTGATTTTGCTTTCTTCCTTTCTTTTTCTTTTGTTTTTTAAATCGTGGTGCTGCCAGTAGCTCTAGGCTCGGCAAGGCTCGGCTTACCAGTAGTTGTCTCTCTCTCTCCCCCCTAGCGCGTTGTCAACCAGAAAGGACTTCGGGATTTTTTTTTTTTTTCATAAGTAGATATTTGGATTGTTTTCTCTTTTTTTTTTTTTTTTTTTTTTTTTTTTCTTATTATAAAAAAGAGGTGTGGGGAAGTCTGTAGTGGTACCAATAGTCTAGGCTCAGCAAGGCTCGGCTTACCGGTAGCTCCAGGGTCTAAGTCGATAGCTGAGAAAAACATTTGTGGTTATGTTATTTTCCTTCTTTTTTATGTTTGTTTTTTACAAGAAAGACGAATCTCTGTTGTTTCATATGTGACTCCCCGTCGGAGGTGGGGGGTTGTCAGCCCGTTTCATTTCAGTGCATTCATACGTAGCTCTTTCCAAAATGCATCTGACTGCACTTATGGTCAGGCATGAGGTGGGATTGTTGCATGTCGTTCCAACTGCTGGGCAACAGCTCCAGCATAAGGGGCGGTACCGGTGTCAACCAACTAACTTCCCTTATCGATTCTCACCCCCTCAAGGATCGATAAAGTTTGGCGTGGAGGGCATTTTGAGGATCGCCACGAATGGTTGGGGGAAGTGGTGGTGATTTTAAAAGTGTGTAACTAAGATTTCATCCCCTTTCCTCCACCCTGACCATTCCAATATTATAAATCAAAGGACCCACCTATATCGAATTTACAGGCATCCAGGATGTTTACTGCCCATTATTTGGGATGCTTCAAATGTGGCAAACCGCAAGGATCGCCACAATCCGAATACTTCAGCACACCATTCAATCGATAGCAATGGACGGTGTGCTCGAACGCTAGGGGGATGTAATCAGTGTGAACTCGTGACTCACACTTTATTAGACTAGCACTAACGCTGAGTTTTGTTTGTCTAAAGGTGTCGAGCACATTGGTCCCGTAAGAGGACCCCCCAACAACGTCATCAAAGGATTTTGCCAGTTTGGGATGCAACGCAATTAGAAGTGGTGCCGCTCCAGCCGAGTGCGTCAGTTATACCTCTTGCGAACCCCTACGACATGATAGGGTCATACGAGGTACGACTTATCTCAACCTGTGGGAGTTGTCACCATCCCTTAGGTGGGCGTATTCCCGTCGAGCTATTGAACCATGTACAAAGGTTTTTCGTATGTGATCGCAAAGGTGGGTTACCCAAGGGCGTTTCTCGTTCGCTGTAGCATATGGGGCACGCGCGGTTAACACCAAAATCAGACATGTTTGCGAATTGGTGCTTAACGCGTTGATCTCCCAAGCGCAATCCTACGTCGGTCGAATAGGACGACCAATTTAACCACGCAATGCACTTATGAATGAAAACTTAAATCCATGTGCAAATCGCATCGAGTCTCTTTTGCAAATGTTTCAACTTATAACTTATTATGTGGATTTTGGGTATGGTCAGCACACAAATGCATAAGAGAGACGAAGACGTGAAGGGAACCCCAACTTTTAATTATGTGCACTCCCGCAATTGACTGTAATCACAACGCTTCACGTGTTATCTATAATTTCGCAACCCTTAATGGGTTCAGTGTTGCATCCGACACCCAAGTGTCAGAAACAAAATATTGTAAAGGACGTTTGATTCACCATATAGAACA